ACGTACACTACCGTCCGTTCGTCCGTACGACGAGAGTCGTTCTTACTACAATAATATTATTATATATATATATATATATATATATATATATATATACAAGAGTACAATTTACAACAACAATTATCAAGAATAATTACCACAAACAAAGTTTTATAAACAACAATTTCACTAACTTACAAACAACATAGAATCTTCTGTCTAGTTCAGAGTTTCCTTAATATCCAGCGAGTTAACTTGAAGTCGATGTATGTAGAATTGCTGAGAAGCTAGCTAACTTTGTCAGACACTGAATTGTTGGACTTTCGAAGTAACATAATACTTTCATAAAACCACTAATGTCCAATGAGAATTCAGTAATACTTTCGGAAAGATACCAACGTCCGATGAGAATCAACTGATGCTCAAAATTTATAACTGTTCCTAGTCAAATGTTATATATTTTCCAGTTGATAAGGGTTAGCAAGATCACGGTTTATAGCGTACATGGTTATAACAGGTTCCTAGCAGACATATATGCTCTCTTCTTTGGTCTTGGTTGTTTTATATGGGTGGGAAATATCTTTCTCGAAAGTTTGGACAACATACATATATTTAACCGGTTATGGAAGTGGATATATTGTCTATTCTTGAGTTCACAAATATTCTACAGTCTTGTAGAATTGGCGGGACTTTCGCCATACATAATATAAACTTATTCCAAACAAATGTTGTCATTAAAATAAATATATTACAGATTCGTTGTACACAATACATATCTGACACTATAAGTTACACATATTTTTAAATACAAATTTAATCAAAACGACGTTCATATTACAAATAAATACACTGGTAGATTACCAAATGAATGCAAACCAAAGATGGGCATGATAAGTCTGCAAATACATAAAATTAATATTTGCACATAAATATTTTTTACTGTCCCCCCCCCCCTCTGCATCTGCTACATATTTATTACTTCCTACTCCAACTTCCAAAAGTTAGTGTTTCTTACTTTAGCTACAAATAATTCTGTTTTGAGTGGTACTGCAGTTTTACAAATATAAAAGTTTACAGAAAAATAATGTAAAAACTATAATTAAATTGTATCTGTTTAAACAACATTAAAACCAACCTACCCTTTCATAAGCTGAGATGCCTTAAAATAGGCAGCCATTGCTTGATCATGTTCATTCTCCACAGCAAAAGAATGACCATACACTAGCCAGGCTGGTCCAAACACTCTATCTAAAGTTGTGGCCTTACTGTAATGACGAAAAGGAATGCATTTTTGTTTTACAAAATATTACAAACACTCTATGAAAAAAAAAAAAATTCTACATTTCTATTTCTGAATTCTAACAGAACCTTTATCTGAAAAATGTGAAAGGTAAAATTTTCTTACCCAGCACAGTTTAACTATTGTTTTGGCTATGTTTACATACACAAAAGGACAGTGAAGGAAAAAGGTTATGCATTGTTTTAACTATGTTCTTCATGATGTTTTTCATTCACACAGATTACACATTGTTTACAAAAATATAAACAAACCTTATAATCTTTCCCTACATCCATTTTAAAGACAAAGAAGCAGAAATTGTTTAATTTATAAAATATCTGAATTTTTAGTAAATACATTTACCATTTCATTGGTGAATGATATTCATTTATGTTAAAGAAAAGAAAAAAGAAATGGTAAACCAATTATGGATTACATGATTGATCTATCAAAATTGATTACAAATGAATAACTGAGAACAAGATACATGTTTATGATTCTTTTGGATTAAACACCAACTACTGTAATGATGCACTTAAGCAAAGAAAAGAAAAACAATGGTGGTCTTTTGTTCTTCTGTACAACTTTGGGAAACCTTACTTTACATAAGTTAATAGCATGGTAACATGTACTTTCAAGCCATACCTTCAGACTGTAAAAAAATATCACAGTCCAGGTGATATTGAAAAAATGAAGGACCATTTTTTTAAAACCATGGGTCAATTTCAGGTTTATAAAGTTCATAACATTAAAGTTGTGAAAAAATCAATTATTTTATTATTGATTTATTAAAATACAATTTCTAGCATTCTTATTTCATATGTATCTGCAATGCACACCAAAAACTACAGACCAACATATTGTTTTTAAATAATTGGTAAATAAATAAATAAAGGTTTAATAATTATATGCATCATAAATAATGGATGGTAAGATAATGCACAAACTTGATGATTATAAAATAAGTCTCACTGTATCTGTATAATCCTTGGAAGCATATTAAGTTAATATGGTACAGAAGTGTGATGTTACTTGTGTAACAATGGTCTTAACAACCACACATTTGGTCCTACACAAACAAACAAGTGAATGCATCAAAGCCATATCAAGATAATTTGCTGGCAGGAACAAAATAAAGCTCATATACTCTTATAAAGTATACAAAATAATTACTCTTTTCTTTAAAGATAATACAGTAACAAGAACAACCATTGTAGCACTTCATATACATTTTCATTAATGTTATCTCTTCTGTAAACATAGTATTAATTATAGTCTGGTTCCATTTTCAGAAAAATTAATTGTTAAGACATTGTTAAGAACAACCATTGTAGCACTCCATATACATTTTCATTCAATTTCATTAATGTTATCTTTTCTGTAAACATAGTATTAGTTATAGTCTGGTTCCATTTTCAGAAAAATTAATTGTCAAGGCATTTTCGTGTTGAATTTGGTATATAGTGGTTTTACCATAATTTGGGCCTGCTGAATCCAAAACTGCTGTATACCAAGCTCAATTTTTGTTTTAAGCCCTCAAAATTGCAAGTAAACAAAATGGCCACCATTTTTGCTTAATTTTGGTGTAACATGTTTTTTAAATCAAATATAAGTGTGATCTTGGAAATCTTTTCCCACATTTTACAACTCATATAATCTCTTGAAATTAAAAGTTCCAAACCTTCCTTCTGTAATTTTATATACAAATGACATTTTTACTAACAATAATGGCAAGGTAAGAGCTTATTTTTCAGAAAAGTCTTTTTCACACTCAAATATTATAAGGAAATGTTTTCAATAGTTTCACAATAAGTAATGATATATTACATATTCACAAAAAAAACAGTACAAGTTGTTTTTGTATTGATAAACACTGTTTATCACCATGCTATTGTACTATTATGACAGCGGAAGTCACGTGACACTGGTAACACATAATGAGTTCTAGAAAGATCGGGGAACATCACGAATAATCAAGTATTTGTTAGATGCCCTCTATTCCTGTATATAAGTGCACCAGATAAAGCGAGAAAATTAATCGGAATTGGAATTGCAGACAGGCAAAGATAGAGACAATTGAGTCAAGCAAGGTAAAGTTGAGTAAAGTGCGTGTATCGTTGTGAATTATAGTGTGTGTTTAAGTTAAAGTGACTGTGGAAATGAAGTGTATTGCAAAGTTGAATTGAGAAAGAATAAACTAGTTTTAATTAAGAAAAGACTTGTATAGCTGAAGTTTCTCGGAAAGAATTTCTACGAAAAATTAACAAACGACCAGAGACGTAACATTAACTTAGTTTTGTTAAAAGTTACAAATTTATGTAAAGCAATTCAACATCACATGATTACACTCTCAGCATTACTTAGTTTATTGTGATCCATTCATACAGTCTCTAGAACATTTTTAAGATCCAGTGAAAGGTAGTTTGGATTTTCTGCACTTACATCATAGAGATGAACATCTAGTTGTGTAATCATAAGAAAGGAATTGCAAAAAAAAGATGTTGGAACAGAGGGCAAAGACAAAAGTGGTGGCTTTATATAGCCTTCTATTAGTTCCCATCCCTTTGCGATGGCCAATGGAAGAGTTAGATGTTGTTTGTAAGCTTGTAAGTTAAAGCTTGGAGATGGACTCTACTGATATGAACTTTGGCAGAATCACTTGTTGGAGGCAAAAGTTATGGGTTTAGTTCTTTTCTGAATAAACCAACTCTTGCTTTGTCCACAGTATTTACTTCTGGAACACTGTAAATTCCACACAGGAATGATTCCACATTTGCAATTGTCTCCTCAGTTAGTGGCTTTTAGCCAAGCCATGAAGCAATTCTTCGTGCTCAAAGAAAACTTCCAAAAGCTGTTTTCTTGACATGACCTGATAGGTATGGAGTTTTATCACAGCCTGTCACTGCATGAAAAGGAAGGTAGTAAATGTTGAGAGTTTGAACCATCCAAACCACAAGAGTCAATTACTTCTTTAATATGTATGAACCTTGGCTTTTTGTGGGTACCTGCCTTCATCCATAACTGTCTGCAAGTCATATTTTTGTAGTGTGCCATAAGTAAAAGAAGTACATCTGTGTCTCTAGCAGAGACCACAATAGTATCAGTGCTTCATTTTACACAGTAAAGTACAATTCTTGTGTCTGCCTTCTCATGGCACCTTTCAAGATCTCTTAGATTAATATCTGCTACATTGCAGACTACCCATCATGAACAAACATGACTATTCATCATGAAAGCCTCCTGTAACTACTATTGTTTTGACAACTCATGACAAGTTTTCTTGAATGACTGGAAACACGATTACTCCACATTTGAAGTTTGCTTTTGAATGGAACAATTTTATATGGCATCTGAAGCACACATCATTGTGCCTTGCAATGACAAATTCAGATCAGTCAGAGTAAAAAAAGAGGTGTGCCAAATCTGTCAACTTCCCAAGTTAGTCAAAATCCCTGAAATCTGTACATAATTAGACATTAGAAACTTAGTAAATTTTTTTCTTAGCTTGACAATTCTCAGTATTACTTTGCTCCAGGATAATCAACATATTTCTCTAGGTAACTGCAGCTTGTTATGTTGTGCACCCATTTTAATGCATAAACATTTAAATAATCATGAATTCAATGCATGGGCTTTCACAACTGTATTGCAGACATCATGAAGTTCTCCTCAAACCTTTATTGTTGACAGCAATAAAGTAAATAATACAATGTTTTAACTAACAACAAACATTCTAGAGCAGCTTCTATCAGTTTAGCCACAACACCAGAATGAAGTTCAGCCACTGTGGCAGTGCCATTTGTGCACATTCCAACAGAAAATCTCCAACTGAGTCCATGGTCACATATTTTCCTAGAGCCTTAAACTCTTCAGTACTTATAATTTGCTTGGGGAATTTGAAAGCACATAAAAATTTCTAAACTGTTAATGTCCGTTGACTCATCAATTTGCAGTGAAAAACATTCAGCCCTTTTCAGCCCATCTATGAGCTGACTTTCAATGATGAGAAATTTCTTCAATTCTTCTAGTCACTTTATTACTTGAAAGAGGTATACAACTCACTCATTTGGTAGCAGTTTCTCCTGATAATTCATGACAGATATCTTTAATGGATGATATTATACTGTAAATGGTTTTTTGGTCTTTGTAATATAAAGTTAGGTCAAGTAAGATGCTTTCAATGCAGCTCTATTTACAATTGCAGATCACATTAGTTCTTGCTGTCACTTTAATTTGTCATGTTTTCTTTCAAGTAACTCTGATGATTTGGATTCCAATTCAGTACGTTTTGAATTTGGATCCTGAATTAGTTCAGATGGCTTCATTGTATTATTACTAAGTATGTCACCACATTAAAGCTTGGTGCCTCCGGCACTGCCACATGAAATAAATCCCAATATAATATAGGAAACATTGTATTTTTCTAATGAAGCCTAATTACTTTTTCTTTGTGCTTGTTGGCACCCCTTTCCTCATGCTCATCTTCCTCAAATTCATTAACTGCACTTTTATTAGCACTACACTCAAATTTTCATTTTTCATTTTTACTGTCCAATTCTGTTTTTTTTTGTTGAAAAAACTGTCCAAAGAAGCTTGTTTTGACATGATTTTATCACTGGTACTCAACAGTACAGAGCAAATTTCATTTTGTGAAATGGAGAATAATTAATCTGTAATATCAAAGGGTAATCTTATACTCACAAAACTGAATAACAGTAAGCTCTAGTTATGTTACAGCTTTCTCATTTTTGAAAATGCCATAACTCAATCGAAAAAAGAGTGCATACTGATTGTTATTATTAAACATTAAGTAGGGATGATGAAGAAAGGTAAGTAACTGACAGTACTAGTTAACAGTAAAGCTTTTAATAATGAGCTTCTGCTGTATAGCTGAAATAAATAACTTGCAAACAGAAGTGAGTACACTTTGTATTATTCCTAATATCCCTCTATATCAAACATTTATGAAAAAAACATGTAAACATG